AAATATTCTTGTTAGAAAAGGAAGGTTTCCTTCTGTTCCAATTTCTTCTAACACATGGATATTTAAAAATTAGTGGTTTCTGTTTTCCTATAAAATCCAGATTCAAGAAACTCCCTTGAAAATATGTATTACCACTCCAGCCACTACATCACAACCCCATTATTGGTGTTTAAAACGTATAAGTTCACAAGTTAAGGTTAGAAATTTATAGTAACTTAAAATCAGTGTTTCTTTAAATATAAATTAGCAAAGGTCCATGACAATGAAAGTCTGTTCAGTTTTTCCATTTATTTTAGAAATGGAGACATGACTTCTGTTTTCAGCAAAGTTGTCTTCCTACAGTCATTGAAATAGTCCTGTCCAGGATATAGGGCTGAAATAATGCCATTATGGCTCAGTCTATTAAGCAGAACTCTGGAGGGCATCTCATAATTTTCATTAGGTAGGTACAGCAGCCTATCTTTAAATCTATAGGCATAAATAAAAATAATTTATGTGCCGCATTTACCATTATATTAGAGCCAATTATGAGGATGCCCAAGACTTATTTGACAAGCTTGTTCTATTCTCTTCTAATAAGTCTGAATTAGATTCTAGGAAGTTTTTTTACTTTTAGCAGCATTTCAGGTTTTTAAAATTTTTTTATTTTTTTAATGTTTATTTATTTTTGAGAGAGACATAGAGCATGAGCAGAGGGAGACACAGAATCCGAAGCAGGCTCCAGGCTCTGAACTGTCAGCACAGGGCCCAATTCAGTGCTGGAACCCATGAGTGGTGAGATCATGACCTGAGCCAGAGTTGGATGCTTAACCAACTGAGCCACCTAGGTGGCCTTTTATTGTTTTTAATGTTTATTTATGTTGAGAGAGAGAGGGAGAGAGAGAGAGAGAGCACGCGACCATGGAGGGGCAGAGGGAGAGAGGGACAGAGGGTCTGAAGCAGGTTCTGTGCTGACAGCAGACAGCCTGATGTGGGACTTGAACCCACAAACTAAGAGATCATGACCTGAGCCAAAGTCTGAAGCTTACCTGACTGAGCCACCCCACATTCCAGGTGGTTCTAGTGCAATGTTCACCTTTGTATCCCTGGTACCCAGCACAGTGCTTAATACATCTCAGGTGGGTTTCACCTTAGAATTAACACACTTTAGTTTATGCTCAGTCATGAGCCAGAACTGGCATTTGACCCTATGAAACTGCAAGGTGGCTGGGCTGATGGCTAGGAGAAGAGAACTGATAGTGATGACAATTACAGATCATTATCTCTGGGCATAATGTATAAGAGCCATTATTTCATGTGTTTTTAAATGAGTTTTTAGGTAATGCTCAAATACCATTCATGCCATTCCAGGCCCCCTCATGGCCGCCAGAGCAGCTCAACCAATACATATGTATTGCTTTCATGGAAGAGTCAGTGATCACGAAACAGTCATAATATCTCTGTAGACATCCTCACAAAGACTTACATTAGTAAAGCATGATATAATACTCAATATTGTACTCAAATAGTACTTGAGAACTAGAGCCCGAGTTTTAGAGTTAAAGATGCTACTCAGGGAACTGAGCACACAGTAGAAAAGGTTCCCAAAAGCATATGATTGAGGCTTGCATACTGAACAAAAGCACTTGTATATTTAACTCAAATAACTATTAATTCTTCCAGGATTGATATCAGTATTTTATATGTCAGAAAACACTGTGGAAGCGTTTGATATGTCTGTGATTTAATCAAAGAAGAGGGCGAGGAAGAAGGTTCATGTGTAATCATTGTTACATGGAAATAGGATAGGAAGCCAGTCAACAGTTTTAAAAATTGTCTTAAATACAAAGTAATAGTTAAATTGGCTATTTATGGTCAGTCAAAAAATTGATTTCTTAAGAAATCGAAGCCTATAGTTGTTTTGTTACTGTATGGAGACTATAACAACTAGTTACACATTCCACTTAAAAGCAATGCATTTTCAGTCTAGAGTTTTAAGTAAATGGTTAAAAAGTATTAAAGTTTTACAAGAGTAATGCACACTTTTAAATAAAATTCAAACAAAATAAAAGGAAAAATTGAAACCCTCTTCTCATTCCTTCCTTTCCAAATCCCAGATATTAAAACTTGGCTTCTTGATTTATATCCTTCCAAACTTTAGGCATATATATGCAAATATACTCCTGTAAGCAAGCACCTGCACTTGTTTTTGTCCACATATTATGAACACATGTTGATCTTATGTAGACCTCGAGTAAAATGGGTCAGTAGTTCCTCAGTTTGATCCCTAGTAGCAAACACAGTGCTTTGTACACCATAGATCCTTAATTGAACACCTGTTGAATGAAAGACTCTTTTCTTTTTTTGAAAGACTCTTAAGTTAACAGTACATATTAGAGAGTTTTCCATTTGAGCTTTTTTATTTTTAATAGCAGCTTAGTATTTCCTAGTACAAATGTGCTATAATATTTGAAACTATTTTCTGTTGATGGGCATTTAGGTACTTCCTATTCTTTCGCTGTAACAGAAAGGTCAGAAATAAAAATTGTGCATTATTTGTTCACTAGGATGGATAGTTATGTAGAACAGATCCCTGGAAATGAAATGTTTAGCTCAGTCATGAAGGTTTTAAACTTTAATAGACACAGGGAAATGGTTCTTGACCTTTTTTGGGAGAATCACAAAATCATTTGGCAATATGATGAAAATTAATGTACCCTCTCTCAGTAAATGATACAAATGTCTCATACAATTTCAGAAGTGTCTAGGTATAACTCTTGTGTTAGGAAACTCCTTAGAGTGATACATTACCTACTGAGGTTGATTTTGTCCTAATGATCTCAGTTTTTCGCTGCGATGTAGCCTGCCAGCTTTGCTTTGGAAAACAGATGTTCTATGAAAAGAGACTTATAAGATCTTCAGATATTACATCTCATTTGTCTCATGCATATTTTAAGCACAATTTACCCAATTTCAAAGGCAAATGCTTCAGCGTCAAAGGCAAATGCTTCAGCGTCAATGCAGTAATGTGACCATGAGAACTATGCTCTGTCACCTTAAAATCCTAGGTTAGGCCATGATTTTAGTTCCTGCTTTCAGGTCCTTAACTGCTCCAGTCACAGCAATGCTACCAAAAGTTTTAAGAAAAGGAGGAACACAGTCTCTGTCCAGCTAGATTGCGTCAGATTGATTTAAGAACTTTTATCTTGCCCAGCCCAAACATGACGATCACACTGAGTCATGAAAGGGAAGTACAGGGGTGCCTGGGTGGCTCAGGCGGTTAAACGTTCAGAATCATGATCTCACGGTTCAGCTCCTCAGTTTGAGCCCCGCATCAGGCTCCATGCTGACAGCTCAGAGCCTGGAGCCTGCTTCACATTCTGTCTCCATCTCTCTCTGTCTCTCCCCTGCCTGCACACTGTCTGTCTGTCTCTCTCTCAAATAGAAATACACATTAAAAAAGATTAAAAAGAAAAGTACACATGAAGACAGTTACTAACAGTATGAGAATGCTTGCTCAGCAAATGTGCACACACCCCAGTTCTTCAGTTCTCTAAACTAGCTCATTTCTCTTGAAGGAACAACAAGAACATTTCATTTGCCCTCCTGTCCATTTCCAGAGAAAACAGAGCGTGGACTAGAGGAAGAGAAGGAAGTTTCGCCTGCCCTCAAGAGGAAGGCTGTTTTTTCATTTAAGGGATTGTGACTGATCTACGTGAGAAAGAAGTCCTCTTGGTTTATGCAGCTACAAATGATAGAGAGGCCTTTTCTCATTTTACTTCTGAAAGAGGAGCATTTGGATATTGCAGAGAACCGACTTTGACATCTTTAGAAAGTGGAATCGCTTGGCTGGGCTCATTTCCTGGCTCCTGTGTTTTCATAGCACAGAGTTTCAAAGACGGTGTAAAGCCAACACACACTTAAAATTCTTGGTCTCTATCAAAACAAATCTGCCATTTCCTGCTTTACTTTTTTTTTTAGTGAGGCTCATTATAGTCCTAAATTTGAACCTCATAGTGAATAAAATCTACACCTGTCTTTAGAACATTCCTAAAAACGAACGCTCTCCTATTTTATAGTAAATGCTATTGTACGTAAACTTGAAATCCATAATTAATATCCCTGGATAAAAATATTACCAGCCCTGAGTTTTAAACTGTGTAAGTTCTCTCTTTGCTGTCCTTTAAGAAATCAAATTGGACAAACCATGAGAGACACTTGAATGCTGACAAAAACTGAGGACTGATAGATGTGGGGGGGAGGGGGGATGGGCATGGAGGAGGGCACTTGTGGGGATGAGCACTGGGTGTTATGTGGAAACTAATTTGACAATAAACTATTTGTAAAAAAAAAAAAAGAAACCAAATTGGAGTTCAACGCAGGAGTAAACAGATTAATGCCAATACCAAATTTTAACCTAGACCCTTGTTACACAGAGGGTGCTTTCGGCACCAGCTGCATCAGTTATCATCTCAGAGCTGATTAGAAACGCAGAATCTAGAGCCCTGCGGTAGATCTGCCTATTCTTAATATGCATTTTTACGGGATCTGCAAGTAATTTGCATACACATTAAAGCTTAAGAAACACTGACCTGGGGCGTCCGAGTGGCTCAGTCAGTTAAGTGCTTGACTTTTGATCTCCGCTCAAGTCTTGATCTCCTGGTTCTGGCTACGGAGATGGAGATGGAGCCTGCATCGGGCTCTGCACTGACAATGCAGAGCCTGCTTGGGATTCTCTCTCTCCCTCTCTCTCTCTCTGCTCCTCCCCAGGCTGGTGCTCGCTCACTCGCTCTCTCAATAAATAAATAAACATTTAAAAACAAAAAAACAGTGACCTAGGCCACTATTGTAAAGCTACCTAGAGGCAAAAAAATACCCCCTAAAACACACCATTGTGTGACTAAGGCCAACTTCCACGGATGCAGCATTTCCGCCTTCACCGCGGTTTCGCTGTCGGTGGATTCAGTTACCCCTGGCAACTGGGAACCGGAAGCAGATGATCCTCCGGAGGCAAGGTCAGGTCAGTAGTAGCCTAACAACGTGTCCCGGCGCCCGTGTCATTCATTTCGCTTCATCTCTCCTCGAAGGCGTTTTATCGTCTCCCATCATCACAAGCAGGGTGAGTACTGTACTAAAAGGTGTTTTGAGAGACAGAACACTACATGCGATTTCAGGAATGCACCGGGAGCCTTAGAAAGTGTCCCCCCAGCATAAGAGGGCGACCGCTGTATTTATAGTCTTCAAGATCACGGCACCCCACCTTAATTATCTCAGCAGGTCAGATATGGAAGGGCGTGTCCTTGAGGAAACCTAATCAGAGAAAGAAAGGCAAATGCACACCCACATTCTTCATAGCTGGATTAAAACCCATGTATAGAAAACGTTACTACAGAATGACCAAATGAAGACAAGAGAATAAATAAAACTAAAACCTCAAATTTTACTTGCAAAGAAGGTAAAGGATTCATAAACAATAATAAAAAATAACAAAATGATAAAAATAATAAAAACGCTTTGTTTTAGATTGATATATTTATATTGCTAATTTAATATAATATCAATTAAAATTAGTCTTTAATAAATTTTATAAATTTAGTCCCAAAATAATTATACTATTTTTTTCTTTTTCTTTTTTTTCTAAATTGTCTCTGAGAAGAAATATTAAAACTTTATACTTTTGATAAGTACTGTTCAACTCCAGATACTGCTTTAGGTATTTGAGATACAGCAGTGGATGAAAACAACAGCAACAACAACAACAAAAAAAACAAAAAAAACACCCAAAACAAAAATATATCTACTTTTGTGGACCTTACAGTCTCGTGGGAAAGCATAGGCCATAAATACCAGAAAGAAAAAGTAAATTGTAAAGTGTATTGCAAATGATAACTGCCAGAAAGAGTGAGTAGAGAGTTGCATCTTTATTTTATATTTTCTTGTTTATAAAAGTTTAAAATGCTTATTTATATTTGAGAGAGACAGTGTGCAAGTGGGGGAGGGGCAGAGAGACAGAGACAGAATCTGAAGCAGGCTCCAGGCTCTGAGGTGTCTGCACAGAGCCTGGTACGCCCTGAGATCATGACCTGAGCTGAAGTAGGACGCTTAACCAACTGAACCACCCAGGCACCCTGAGAGTTGCGATTTTAAATAGGAGTATCAGTCGTAAAAGTACCATCTGAGCAAAACTTGAAGGGAATGAGAAAAGCAAAGAACGTAGAGGCAGGCCCCATGCTTTTGGCCAGTGGATGATAAATGTCAGTCTCTTCTGTGTATTTACTATTCTCCTGCATTTAAGAAAGAGCAGGGGAGGAAAGTGTTCTCCTAACGTGTAATATGATTGATGATCCTCTGTTTTTGCAGCAGAGAACACCACTCTATAATCTTATATATCATTCTTTCTGGGGAGCCATAGATGCAGCCAGGAGTGAACTCAGAATTATTCTTCAGATGCATCTGAATGCACACAAATGACATTCTTATTTTAAATACAGTTACATCTAGAAATTAAATATATGGTGATAACTTTATTATGCGCTAACTATGTACAAAGACATTTTTTTTCTAATCTTGGAAAGAGGGATTTTTTTTCCCTTATGTTACAGATAAGAAAATTCAGGGTCTGAGACGATGAATCAAGCCCCAAGATTAGAGAGCTGCGTTCGCCATTCAGGCAGGAATTACACTTAGGTCTCTCAGAGCTCTCTCAGAAGCCAAAGTCGTAATGTTTTACTAAGCCACCACCGTAATTTGTTCTCAGTGTATTGTTAGATACCTGTAATCTCTCATTTCATTACAAATTTCCTATAATAAATAGTACTATTTTCTTAGCACAGACTTCGTGCAGTACCAATGAACACAAAAAGCAGACACACACACAGCTGAATAATCATTTCATGGTAGCTCAATACTTAAACCAAATAAAACTGAAGGTCCTAAAATAGTCTTTACAATAATACTTTTTGCCAGTCTTTTCTATCTATAACTACTGTTGTATTCCACACATATGGTTGTTTCTACTGATTGATTTTTTCTTATGAGTTAAGGATTGCACTGTGTATTCCCAACATATAATTGCATTTCATTATAATACTATTATTTCAGAGATGAGAAACAGAGTTCTAGAGAGGTTTAACAGGACCTATGCCCCTAAGTTCCGTGGTCAATGGTGTGTCCTAATCTCTTGTCAGAGCTCTAGAAATGTCTATGTAAGAGACTCTTTAAGGCAATTGGTGCATGGAAGTTAATAGCCCATTAGAATGTGGAAAGTGTAAGGAGTGACTATCGTGGATTCTGAGAGCCAGGAACCAGTACAAAATACCAATCCTACTTCTAGAAAGAGGGCCTGTGGACCAAATACACTGCATGTCAGTACAAAGCTACCATTTCTGGTGGCCCCAGAAAAGGACCTGACTTGTCCGGGTAATATATCTATATAAATCTATTCTTGCTAGGAGGTGAGGGACAAAAACTCACTCTCCCAGGGTCTGAAATGACTCTGACTATCACTGGTCATCATAAGCAGCTAGCAAACTGAGATGAAAAAGAAGACCAAAAAAAAAAAAAAAATTCAAACTGCACTGTGTGTAACTCTAAGTACAATAAGCTATTGATAACAGAGACCCTGAGTCATCAAGAATACATTTAAGGAAACAGAGATGTGCATAGCATATGATGAAAGCTTTTCATTTAAAATTGTTAAACGAAAGTCTAGGCACTTGATCTGGTGAGTTTTATGAGCCCTAGTGGAGAACGCACTTTATGTGAAATTCTCATTTCCTGGCAACCCTGGATAGATCAGGCATTGCTGTGATAATGTTCATCTCTGTGCATTATAATGAAGCTGCCATGGTAACTCTAGAAGTCACTTTAAAAATGTGCAATTTTAAAAGTTCATTTCTTAGAAAAAGATTAGCACAGCTGTAACACTCATAATAATCTAATGAGATTTGAAAAGAACACTCAGGCAAAAAATATATATATAGACTGCTTAGATTTCACAATTGCACAGTCCTTCTGTGAATGACGTGGTCCACCCATGACTTCCCTACTCGATGAAACAAGGGGGAATCTTAGGTCAGAAGCTTAATTAAATTTCGATGTGTATGACCCAGCAGTAGAACTCATTCAGCTCCTACTTAGTTCAGGATGCTTGCTAAGTAAATCACAGAAGCACTTGCATAGAAAATTTTATGTACTTGTCATTTTCATAAAATAAAGGAGCTAGGTGTAATAAAGGTTCCTAGCATTAGTTATTTAGGAAAGGTTGACTGAACCCTTTACGACTGGTCACAGAAACTCATACTGGGAAGGAAACAGATGTGACACATGGGAATTGGGTACCTTTCCAAAATAAAACCCTCCACCCTCAGCCCTACTCACCCCATAATTTTTTTTTTTTTTTTTTTGAGGAAAAGGCATAAATCAGTGTACAAGGTCTCAATACTTTGTTATGGAAGACATTTATCTTTCTTCTAAGGGAAATTGTAACTTTTAAAGTTAGTTATTTTTTGGTGCCTGAATCATGTATAACTGATATGGAACTAGAACATGTTCAAGTAACTCCTGTTATCTCTGGGACCTCATGAGCATCAGAAACATGCATTCCTGAAGGTGTGAGGTGGTGCATTTTTGAAGTGGCATATTTAATTAGAACATCTTCTGTGTTTTCTTGAAGGCTTCTACTTTAGGATCAGGGCCATGGCTATAAATTCAAATGAGCCAAATTTAATAAATCTTTATTGGCAGAAGGCTATTTTGGCCTTCAGTTAATAAAAAGAAGCTTCTTAATCTATAAGTAGGATTCCTGAACTTTGCTGAGAAAACTCTTTTACCAAGTTCAGGTAGTGTTTAACCTCACAATTGCCTTTTAAAGAAAGTAAGTTACATGGACCAGGAGTCACAGAATTCCATTTCCTCACTTAGCCTCACCTTCCAGAACACCCAGTAGTGATTTGGTCATTGATTTCACCTACTTAGTTAATGAAAAGGACAATGAAAGCATTCGATGGATTCCTCTCCGACCCCCCACCGCCGTCACAATTCCTGCCACCGTCTGTTGAATTGGATGTTTGACAAGTGTGGGTAAAACAATAGAAATATTTTAAGTCATCTGTTTTGACTTCATGTCAAATCAGCCTTGCCATCAAAACATTATTTTGGCCCTCTCAACAATTTCTAGATATGCTGGTGGTAGTGGAATCAGATAGAGGTGGACACGTTTCTTTGAAACTGATTATGTTACACACAGTGGAAAAGAAGTGGAAAATCAAATTAGGCCAGTCATCCCATTTAGTAGACTTAGCAGACATGCTCTGTTGTCAGGGCACCAAGAAACGCTTGCTCAGCTCTCTGCCCTGAGAACAGTGGCAGGCTTCATTCCACCTCACGTGTTTGATTTGCACATTTTGTAAGCACCATGCCTAGTTTCTTGGGGATGCTTGATGACTCCCATAACATGAAAATGTAGTGATTGCTAAGTTCTACTTACCAGGTGGGAGCAAGAACCAGTGAATGCAGAGTCACTGCTACTTCTGTGCCTGATTTTATGCCTAAGCTGATAATGGTGAGAGAAACTTCACCCCAAGCTTCTGTAACTAGTAGTGACTAGCTTGTTCTAGATTGTAATTTAAGCATTGGACCAGGGGGATGAAAGAGACAGAATTCTGACTCTGAGGAAGATTGCATGAAAGTGAACAAATCACTGTCCTGGTGGGAAGAACGGACCCTCTTTCTACTCAGACATTCACATTCATCCATCCCCAGGCACCTGACTTCCCCCTTCCATGTGAAGGTTTTCCAAATCTTACATTCATTTACCTTCAACCAAGCCAACGCTCCTCAATTTTATCAGGTCTTACAACTTATTTTATCCACTAAAAAAAGACATGCAGAGGGGCGCCTGGGTGGCTCAGTCAGTTGAGCGTCCGACTTCAGCTCGGGTCATGATCTCATGGCTTGTGGGTTCGAGCCCTGCATCAGGCTCTGTGCTGACAGCTAGCTCAGAGCCTGCAGCCTGCTTCGGATTCTGTGTCTCCCCCTCTCTCTGACCCTCCCCTGCTCTCTCTCTCTCTCAGAAACAAATAAAAAACATTAGAAAATTAAAAAAAAAAAAAAAAGACA